AGAGAGAGAGAGAGAGAGAGAGAGAGAGAGAGAGAGAGAGAGAGAGAGAGAGAGAGAGAGAGAGAGAGATCTACTCTCCCACCCCACTCCGTTAAAGCAGTTGTGTTGCGAAAGCTGAATCTGGATATTAATCTAGGAGTCTATATCACATAATATCAGTTAAGGCCACTTCCAAGTAAGATAAAGATGGCTTGAGCCGACAGGAGACTGCAGAAGAGGGCAACGCGAGAGACGATGCTGGCGTCCCTCCTAAGGAACAGTGTCACGGTGCCCGCACTGCCTGCTCCTCCGTTGATATCGTTAGAGTCCGACGTTGCCAGAGAAGATGGAGGAGGTAGCAGGGGCTTAGCAGCCTGAGTGGGAGCCGCAGCTGCACGTAATACCGTTGCGTTTGGCAGTAATGTGATGTTTCTCGTGGGGATTGAACCCAGCGCCGACGGCGGAGCAGCGCTAGCGCTTGGGAGGCTTGATGGCAGGGCCTCGGAAGCAGGAATCGGTGGTACTGGGGATACGCGTGACGGCTGTGACGTCGTTTGTTGTTTTTGTTGTTGACGCTTAAGACTGGCCGCAAGCTGGTCTGACTCTGGGTCAACGTTTGACTCTGGGTCCACCATGCCAGTCTTCGGCTGCGCATGCCCCTTAACCGGGTTAACCCCCGGTTTGAGGGTGGGATCGACTGGTGGTAGACCGAGGGGGGTCGTCGTGCCAGACACATCAAGGTCATCGCCAGCCTTAGGTCTTCCAGGAAGGGTAGGAGTCCTCGTCACAGGAATGGTGGCATCGTCAGTGGCCCTCGGGCGGGGTTCCCCCGAGGCAAGGTCAAGGTCATCTTCTGCCGCAGGACCGACGACGCTGCGTGGTTGAGCTGTTGTGGCCGGTCTGGCCGGCGCTGAGATCCGCTCCTCCGAGCTTGAACCTGCATCCGCTGCAGTAGAGTCATCGTCAGCGATCCCGGGCCCACCTGCGGAAGTAGCCCTGGTCGTTCCCCTTGTCTCTGCTCTGCTGCTCGCTGCTCCACCTTCACCATCGCCACCAAACTCAGTTGCGCCTCCTCTTGCGCCAGTGCCCGCTTCGATAGAATGGGCGCGGGTCGTCGTCGTTCCTGGGGCTGACTGCGCGCCGACGGTGAAGGGGAAGCCCCTGCCTGCGCTAGCTTCCCCTGCCCCTGCTGCTGCCGCCGCCGCCGCCGCCGCCACCGCAGCGGCCGCTGCTGCTGCTGCTGCTGCCGACGACGCTGAGTTTGAACCCGCCGCCGCCACAGCAACCCTTGCGTCTTCCGCGGATGATCCTGCTCCGCTGCCACCTGGACCATACCCATGTCCAAGTTCAGACTGCGACTCGGTTGCGCTGGAACCGCCAGTGTGCATGCCAGCTGATGCCGACCCGACCGGTCCCTTCCCTTCTGCAGCAGTGCCAGCGCCAGCGCCAGCACCGCGGCTTGCACCTCCGGTCTTGGCCCCACCGGGGCTTGCACCTCCTCCGGTGCCTGCTCCTGAGCCTCCGCCCCCCACTTCCATAGACTGGGCGTCGGCAACGACGACAAGCACGCCTGTCGGGAAGACTAACAGCTTCGGTGGCAGCATAAGAAAGCCCATCATGACTACCGCAGCAATGATCAGTACGCGGTTCGACGACGAGGGGGAGGAGGAGAATCCCCGGACCAAGGCCATGGTGGTTGAGCTTCTGTCACAGACTTCACTGAGTCACTGCTAATTCCACCCCCCCTATACGCCCCCCTCCTCCACCCGTCTAACGAGGCTAATATCTGTTACGAAAATGCCTAAGCCTTAAAGAAAGCGGTATCAAATTTCAATACTTTGCCAGCGCAAATGGATGTCGGTCTTCACGTCTATTCTTCAAACACTAGACGACCCCTTTTCTTCTTCTCTTTTCCTTTTTTTTTTTTTTTCACCGCCCTTCCTCCTCTATCTATAGAGGAAAGCCAGCAACCACAGGACGACCTTGATTCCTCGAATCCCGACTATCTTCAATCCCAGCAGGGGATCCAGCACTCCAAAAAGGACACTGCGATCGGAAGCAGGAGTTATATCAAAGGCGATCTCAAGTCGCAGTGCGGCCAGTGCCTTTTTTGTAGCCTGGAGGGGCAATGCGGAAGCACTCCGATGGAGAGTTCTGTAATCTTCTTCAGAACTGCGCATCCCCTACACGACGTACGATAGGAGCGCGAATGATCAGCTCCGACACCAGCATGTGACCGCCGACCACAGCCGTAACTCTCATGAAGATACTACCATAGCCACGAATTGCAAGGTCCCCGTCGATTGAAAACGTGAAAGCTCGCTCAACCTCCTTCCTTCTTCGGAAGCGCGCCGAGCAGCCAATGCGATGCTGCTGCTGCTTTTCTTAAGGAAGACCGTATGCCAGTGCAGCTCGTCAACAACTTCAGTTGATAAGACACCGGCAGCTCGCTCCCTCTCTCTCTCTCTCTCTCTCTCTCTCTCTCTCTCTCTCTCTCTCTCTCCACCGCCTTTGCGATGCGAACACCGTGTGGAGGAGCGTTTTTATAGTCAAGTGCGACACTGCACGAGGAGGAGGGGACTCGTAAGCGAAACAAAAAAAAAGAAATTTAAAGCAAAAAAGGAACGCGAAAGAAGACTACGACTGGTACGACAGAGGGCCAACGGACGGGAATCGAGCCCGCGACCCTCACAGCACAGAGAATGCGGGCCAGGTTCCTGTTCCTGGCCGATCTGAATTGACGAACCTAGCCATATTCTTCGACCAGGTTACTACTTATAGTGGGCCCTTAGCACGACCAAGCCCCACTGCTGCTACTTGAATTCGTGCGCAGTAAGCACGAACCTGGTCCACCTTCCTAGAAACGTAGTACAAACGTATCAGCAGTGGGGCGTTACAATTCTGCAGCGTGAAATGACTGGAGGCTCTGTGGAGAGCAACCCCTACCGGTAGAGCACCAGTGAAAGTGAAATACCAGTCATGACTTTCGCGTTTTGCTACGTTCTATCTTTGTCGTGTCTTTGCTCTCAAATTCTGCAGCAGTGTAGCGTTTCATTCTCCACCACGCGCCAGTGGCCAGTCATTGTTCCCGGTCTTCCGATCCAGAAGTCGAGCGGACGATCATCAATCAAGGAAAACAGGGCGACACAGAGCCTCCGGTGACGTGAAGACCTGTCTGTATTAACAACGCTTGAGTACCTGAACTGACTCTCGTTTGTCTTTGCGTGCGTGCATGTTTGTGTGTGTGTGTGTGTGTGTGGCGCCCGCTCTACTGACACAGTGGTTCCATCTGAGTCCAAGTGCCGGTTGCCATGGCGATGTCCCCCTTGCAGTGCCTGAGGTCCAGTTCCTGGTCCAGGTGCAGGACCAGGTTCTGGAGTTCCAATCCACATAATATCCGGCAAGCTCTGTTGCATTGCAATGTGTTGATAGTCGACCGACGACCGACGACCACCTGTACATCAGTTATAAAGCTGCTCGCTCATCTGAATGTCTTCATCCTGCGGGAGTGGAGACTTACCAGCGATCACTAGCTGGTGGACGCGTTGACGGGACTTCTTATGAGATTTTTTGCGATATCGTCACACTCGTTGCTGGTTGGAAAAGTAGGCTGTATTCTGCGCCATCGCTTGGAGGCTGATGTGTAGTCCCAGAAAAGTCATGGCCGTCCCAGAAAAGTCAAATGCTGCAGCAACCTGTTGATTGTTACCACGGCAACCAGCACTACCGGTAGGCTAGGAGATCATCATCGTCGGGTATTTAAAAGTAGGTGGTCTCGGCGCCTCGCCGGTTCTGTCACGTCGCTAGTGTTAAAAAGGGGCACCTTAGTTAGTGAATTAGACTCTTGCGCTGCAGCAGAGGTATCTTGAAGACAATCGATCAATTTTCTTTACGTAAGCGAATCTGCTCAACGTATCGCATTTGCCTCACTCTGCGCCAAGGAAGCCACTACTAGGATCAGTTCAGCTTCTTCTAGTRCCTGCAGAAGAGGAAGCAGGCATGGCTTCCGGCCGTCGATCTTCGCCCGTCTTTGGCACGAGCGACTCGATCCTTCTTGCCCTGGTGGCTATGGCAGCATGGTCKATCCTGATGCCGAAGGAAGACTTGAGCAACTCTAGTACAGGCATGGCTTTTGGCTATGGCTGCTTGCTGGTAGATGCCCAAGCGATAGGCCCAGGGGAGAAGAGCTGGTCCCGTTCAGTTCTGACTGACGGTGGTTCCAGTCCCGTGAACGGCGTGAGGGCATCCACTTCCGCAGGGGATCGTGACCTAGGCTCGCATCTCGAAGCTGAGGGACCTGCTGACTCGGCAGGAGACTTGGGATCACCTGGCTGGTCTGGTGCAACTGGATCTGACTTGGATGGAGATGAAGCTGGCAAAGGCGGACGGTCGCTCGCTGGAGACTCAGGTGCGGGCGTGGCACAGGGCAAGGACGTCACTGTAGCAGCAGCAGCAGCAGCAGAAGCAACGACGGACACAATTGATGCGCGGTCGACAGGAGCTGGCTCAGGTTCCGCCTCCGCTGCGAGCGCACATTCCGCTTCAGGCATGGAAGCCTCAGGAGAGACACCTGCAGATGGAAACCTCGATTCCCGTTCTGCCCAGGCAGCCAGCGGAGGTGGAATCTCTCGTGCTGATGGGGCTAATGGCTTGGACGGCGGCGATAAGTCGGCGGGTGCAGACGAGCGCGAGAATGTGGGTGCACAAGGAGTCGATTCAGGACCAGGAACGGAAAGGTTATCAGGTAGCGATGCTAAGCATGAGCGCGCGCAGGTGGATGCACAAAGACTCGCTTCAGGACCAGGAACATTGCAGCCGTCAGGTAGCGATGGTGGAGAAGGTATGGAGATCGGCGATGGGAGGGTTGAATCGACAACAGGAAGTAATTTGAAGAAGAGCGACAACACGGTCAACACCCCGGCAGTGGCTATGGGCAGGCCCGCTCTTTCAGCCGAATCGGATTCCGATGCTGCCGAGCTCGCGGTGACCGATGCTTCCACCTTCGTGGAGAAAGGAGGAGCAAGCTCGGTACCAGCAACGACGGGACCAGAGTCGGTACCAGCAGCAACGACGGGACCAAGCTCGGTACCAGCAGCAACGACGGGACCAAGCTCGGTACGAGCAACAACGACCCAGTCAAGCACCCCCAGACCGATGGTAGGTGGTCACGTGGCATCAGCGGGACCATCCGGCGAGGATGGCACCGTCCAAGGCACACGAAAGGGCACCACGACTCAGCTCACGGGCGATGGAGATGTCCCCACTAGAGCGGTTGTGACGGGCGAAGCTCCTCATCATGGACTTGACGGCGATGGTGGTGCGTCTGGCAGAGTCTCTGCTGGACGTCAACAGGTCGTTGCCCTTCCTAAGCCGGCTGATGAGGTGTCTGCTCGCCCGCAACATGGAAGTGGGACGTCGGGAACAGAACCAGGGGAGCTGCCGGACATGATCATGCATCAGCGGCGTATGCCTCTGCCGCGGCGTGTGGCCCCGGTACCAACTCCAACTCTTGCTACTACGAACACTCTGATGCATCAGCGGCGGGTGCCTGTCCCGCCGAGTGTAGCCCCGGTTCCACCTCGGAGTCTCCACGTGTCCGAATCCTTGCCGTCCGAGTCTGTTCCAACTGCGCCGCCACCATCGAATTTCCCTCCTGTTGCGACTCCCTCTCGGCCCTCTACTCCCTTCCGCATTACAGCCGTTTCTTCGTCCCCCCAATCATCTCCACTCTCGCAAATTCGAAACGGAGGAGGACCTATCTTTACTGCCGCACCAATGGAGAAGGCTGACCAGTCCGGCGGAGTGTCTCTCAGTGGAAGTAGGGGCATCTACGGTTCCATCGTGCTTCTTTCGAGCTTCGTGATCGCCCAAGTTATGTTCATCATGGATGGGAGCTTCTACACTTGATGAAGGGGCCATTTAGCCGCCATACAGTATTACACATCATGCGTTCTAAATGGACACGCACACATCCCATCAAACCACCACCAAGCGGTGTTCAGGCAACTCTGACGTCCTCCCTCTCTCTCTCTCTCTCTCTCTCTCTCTCTCTCTCTCTCTCTCTCTCTC